ATCAACCCCAGGCCTGCCGGCACAGCCAGGTTTTGACGGCTTTCCGGAAGGCCTGGAGAAAGATGAGAGTCCGAATCTCCGCGGGGAGTTCATTCCAAAGGGCCGGAGCTGCAACAGAGAATGTTGCCATGTTATTTGGCTGCATGCCAGTGGAAGGTGACTTAGAATAACATTAACTGTAATAAAGCAGTAAAGGAGGCGTTTGCTTCAAGGACAACGTGGAAATAGTAGGCTAGTTAATGAATTTTAACTGTTACCAAAGAACATGAAAGGGCTTAAAGTTTACATTAGGGAATATTTAGTGATGTTTTCAGTGTGGTAAACAGGAATTTGGGTCAGTCTTTCTGTAGCCAGGCCAGATTACTTGTTTTTATCAGCTTTTGTGTTTCAAGCAATTTAAAAAAAATAATCAAAGATCTGGGCATAGACAATTTCTGATGATATAACAGTTGATTGATGGAAAGACACATTTCTGCATTAGCTTCTGTCTCAATGCAATCATATTCAAGCTATTTGCTGTTGTGCAGTTGTTTCTTTTTTTTCCCTGTGTTAAAACTGACATGGGAGCACTTGAGGTAAGTGGAGATCTCATGTGCCTGTTTTTGGCAGGGAGAGGAAAACTCTCACTGGCTTCCGCAGGTGTTTGTATGCATGTATGTGCTTCAGAGGATACAGAAGTATGAAGTAATACTTGCTTTAAGACTACCAGATTTCTGTTCCCATTTCATCTGAAGCAACTTCTAGACTCTAGAGATCCAGACTGAAGTGCTGCATAGCATTTATGCTTTGAACCTATAGGTGAAGCACAAGGTTAATTCCCTCTTCCCTCCTCTGTCTGTAAATGTTACAGTTTTGATTTGGTTTCTCTCCATCCCCATCTCTCATTCCGTTTTTTTAAAGCCCTAATCATACAAGACCATCAATGTCACTGCTTTTGCTCTGTGAATAGTGAAAAATTTCAGCAGGAGTACCCATAACAATTTGATTCAATTTTTTGCCAAGCTGTTCCCACAGGAACTTTTGTCTAGCTTAATTCTTACTTTAAGATAATCCTTTTGAATGCATTTATTGTTGGGATGTAGAGATATTGGGACAAAACTTCAAGCCTGCTCAAAACATACAGATGGTTGGTTACAGTAGAAGGATTTAACTTCTGTTGCCAGATGGTCTACATCTAAAGATGTTCCAAATATTAATGCTTGGATAGCGGGATATGAATATTTTTTCCTTAATATTATTTTTCTTATTCTTTTTTTCCTTCTCCCCTTTTTGTCTCTTTTTCTCAAAGTTTCTACCTTCATTTTTTCTTCTTAGGCAGTGACAATGCCAAGCTCTCCTTGATGAACAAGTACAAGGATAATATCATTGCGACCAGTCCTGTGGACTCCAACCATCAACAGGCAACTCTGTTATCTCATACATCTAGCAGTCAACGCAAGCGGATCAATAACAAATCACGAGGTACCGTCTAGAGCTTTTTCCTGACAAGGGATGGGATGGGGCCGGGTGCAGTCTGTAAGGTGATTAAATAGATGGGCAACCTTGAGATAGATCTAAAGCTATACTTAGTCCATCTGTTTCCATCAATAGCTAGGAAACATGCAAGGTTTGTGTTTACACATCACATTAAGCCATGGAATCAAGAGATGCACCTTAGATTAGGCTGAGAGCCACAGTAGAATTTAAATGGTGTGCCTAGGGTTTTACTCAGAACCAAAGGGGGGGGGGGCAGGACTACAGATCAAAATACCATATTTTTTTGAATATAAGACGCTCTGAAGTATAACACGCATCAGATGCTGTTAAAATTGATGTGGCTTCCTGGAAGTATCCATTATTTTCTACTATTTAAAAGAAGATACAATAGAACTGGGCCTCTTCATTTATTTTAAAAAGCTTCTTCAGTTTGTTAAGTTGTCTAAAACAATAATAAAACAGTCTTTAAGAAATAAGTCTAATAATTTGAACATTCTATAAGCATCTAATAATTTGAACATTCTGTAGGGATTTATAGTTATTGACTTACCTCCTTGCAGCAAACAGCCTGTTTCAATTTAGCCTGATTAGAAGGGAAAAAAATCTGCCTCTGCCTCCCAGCAATTTGCTTCCTTGCAGCAAACAACAAGTTTCACTTTCAATTTCAGTTTAAACACTCCCGATGATCAGCTGTTTCAGGCTGCAGGGATTGCCATTCGCAAGCCCCATTTTCCCCATTTGCTGCAAGGAGGTAAATTGCTGGGAGGCAGAGGCCAAAGGAGGGGAGCCAGTGGGTGGGTGGGGCTACATTCAGTTGTATAAGAAGCCAAATTTTCACCCTCTTTTAGGGGAGGGGGAAGGTGCATCTTATACTCTGAAAAATATGGGTAATAACAATAATGAGATTGTATAAGTAATTACTTAACACAATTTTCTTCCACCTATGTGAACTTTTAGCTATTTTGCACATACTACCCATGCAATTATTTTGTTTTTAGAGGCATTCAGGATTGTACTGTTAAAACACATAGCAAGTTTGGTCAGTTTGCTGACTAACAGTTTCATCAGAGTCAGTTTAGTCTATTAGTTGAGACAATTGACTAAAAAGTAAGAGACTGTGAGTTCAAGTCCCATCTTAGTTATGAAAGCCAGCTGCGTGACCTTATGCCATACTCTCATCCCAATTACAGAGTTGTTGTAGGGAAAATAGGAGTAAGAAGAAAATTAGGTATATTCACTACCTTGATTTGCTTATGAAAATAATAAAGGAGGGAAAGAAAGAAAGAAAGAAAGAAAGAAAGAAAGAAAGAAAGAAAGAAAGAAAGAAAGAAAGAAAGAATTATAGGAAGTGTTCCATTCTTGTAAGAGCCTCCTTTTACTACCACTTTGCCTATCACTGCAGTTTATTTACCTTTGCAAAGAGGAAGGGGAAACAGTCTGAGTAGTTGAAACAGCAACAGCTTACATAAAACAATCACTGTGCTGTTTTTCCTCCTAAAAATGGCTGTAGAGATGAGATGAGAATAGGAGAGAAAGGAAGATTATCTGAGAGCAGCAGGAAGTGAGTGGATGGAGCAATAGATTGAAAAAGCTGCCCATCCTACCACAATTTGCAAACACCTCCTGTGTATTGTCAAGATGTGGTACTGACTAAGGAATTTACGGGGCTTCATGAAAGCCTTGAGACATTCATGTGGTCAGTAGTTTGTCTACTTGTATTTTAATATGATATGTCAACCCAGACTTTGGTTAGGTAGTTGAATTCTAGTTAAATAATTAGATACTCTAACTATGGCCTGGTATGTGAGCCTATTGAATGGAAAAGGATGAGCAGAAAAGGTTTCAAAATCTTCAGCTTGTCATTTCCCAGGCCCCTATGACTGTTCTTAAGATGCTTTTTCACTTGCTGGAAAAAATATAGGTGTTAAAATGACAACTGAAGAAGGGTTGAAGGAGCTGAAATTATGAGAAAGAAAAAGTTAAGGGCCACTTTACAACAATCCTTGTTTTTTTCGTTGCTTCAAAAAAGAAGAGTGAAACAGGAGGAAAAACCAATTACTGTATTGACACACTGGAATATAAGAGGCACCAAGGTTTTGAAGAGGCAAATTTTTAAAAAGTAGGTAGGTAGATAGAGGGATACAGAGGGAGAGAAAGAGCGAGAACTACAGTAGGTAGGTAGGGAGAGAGAGAGGGTAATTAGGTAGGTAGGTAGGTAGGTAGGTAGGTAGGTAGGTAGGTAGAGGGATAGAGAGAGAAATAGAAAGAGAGAGAAATACAGTAGAAAGGTAGGGATAGAGAGAGAGAGAGAGAGTAGGTTGGTTGGTAGGTAGAGGGATGGATGGATGGATGGATNGGTCCTCATTTTACCCACCTCGGAAGGATGGAAGGCTGAGTCAACCCTGAGCCGGTGAGATTTGAACCGCTGAACTGCTGAACTGCAGACAACTGAAGTAGCCTGCAGTGCTGCATTTAACCACTGCGCCACCTCGGGACTTCTAAAAGGGATGAGTGGGCATCTGCTAAACCTAACTTTTTCTTCCTCCAGGAGCCTCTAATATATTAATTAGCTTAATTGATTTCTTAATTACTTAATCTTTGTCATGGCCATTGACACCTGCCACTGTAGCATCATTTTCCCAAGATTCATTTGGCCGCCTCTGCAGCCTTATTTAAGCAAGCCCTTGCTCTGTGCCTAGGCCTTGTGCCAGAGTAGAAATTGGAGCTCCTGTGTGATACTTCGATTGGTTATTTCCAGACTTTTTCTGTTTTTGTTTTTCTTTTGATCATATTCTGTAAGCTTTTCAGAGTTAGAACAGATTTGGGCAGTTTACAAGTCTCATAAATAAACAAACTATTGGAGATCCTTAAGTTGTCAATGAGAGGATGCTATGATATGCAATTTGAAAACTGCAATCTTCACTTTTCCTTCTATAATAGTTTCTAGTCTTACATAAAGCAAGCACTGAGTTACTTGATATAGTGACAGGCTCTCGTACCATCCTCGTGACTTTGATATAGACCCCGAGCATAGCATAATATTGTTGCTAGTACATAAAATAATTCAACATTTTTAAAATACTGATTTTAAAACAGGTCCTTAAAATTCTGATGTTATTTACTTTTCAACAGCAATGGACAGAACACCTGCATTCTTCTCTAGAAATTTTTAAATGGAATTAGGGTCGTCCCCCCCCCCCCAGTGGTGGGTTTCAAAACTTGTTCGAACCTACTCTGTGGGTGTGGCCTCCTTTGTGGGAGTGGCTTGCCACCCATGTGACCGGATGGGAGCGGCTTGCTGCCCATGTCACCGGATTGGAGTGGCTTGCCGCCCATGTGACCAGATATGAAGATGCCGACGACACTTGTCAGAACCACCTTAAACTACCTCACACACAGCACTGGCATGCATNTAGAAAGAGAGAGAAATACAGTAGAAAGGTAGGGATAGAGAGAGAGAGAGAGAGTAGGTTGGTTGGTAGGTAGAGGGATGGATGGATGGATGGATAGATAGATAGATAGATAGATAGATAGATAGATAGATAGATAGATAGATAGATAGATAGATAGATAGAAATAGAGAGAAAAATACAGTAGATAGGTAGGGAGAGAGAGAGAGTAGGCAGGTTTGTAGGTAGATAGAGGGGGAGATAGAGAAATACAGTAGATAGATAGGGGGGGAAAGGGAGAGTAGGTAGGTAGGGAGAGAGAGAGAGAGAGAGAAATACAATAGGTAGGGAAGGAGAGAGAGAATAGGTAGGTAGGTAAATGTTTCCAGGTGTATTTATCCATGTGCTGGAGAAGGAAATCGCTGACAATCCGCAGCACTTAAGACTTTGTTTCTGCTGGCACAGCACTTGGTCAATGTAATTCTCATCGATCAGTTAAAGAGCTTTCCAAAAGGTGGAAAACCCTTTTTGCACTCTGCAAACCTCCCCAAAATGGCACGTTTTTTGCAAAAGCAGGCCCGTTGTTTTTTTTAAAAAAAGGCATAGGTAGCCTTGGGGGGAGCTTGCAGAGTGCTCCTGGGGGGGGGGGAGTGATGGGGCCAAAAACGAGCAAAAAATGGCCCATTTTTCACGAGAACGAGGCCATTTTTTGCCGAAAAAATTGCATGCATAGCTTTATGGAGGCTTATAGAGTGCTGCTGGGGCCTGGGGAGGGGCAAGAAATGGCCCGTTTTTTTGCTCATTTCTGCCCTCCCCAGCCCCCAGGAGCTCTCTGAAAGCCTCCATCAGGGTATGCACGGCCATTTGGGTAAAGGGGGCGGGGCTTTGGGAGGCAAAAATCCTGTATTCGATGTATAAGACGCACCCAGATTTTCAACCTCTTTTTTGAGGAAAAAAGGTGCGTCTTATACTCTGAAAAATACGGTACTCTGGCAACAGGCAGATTGATAATCAAAAGGCCAACCAGAAGCATATATAAAACCCAGTCAAATTTCAATAGAAGTCTGCGCCTCTCTGCTCTTCTTTATTGTCCAGACTTTTCCCCTGTGAGACATTGCATAGTAGTTCTGTCCCATACAGTCTCATCTGGAAGCCAACCAAGGATTTTTACTGCTGTCGGTCCTAATGACAGAATACGGATTTTATTGACAAGATGCTTGGTGCTGAGCGTCTTACCTGCTCAACTGGCAGAGTTGATGTCTTGAGTTTCTCTGAGAACTTCATCACAAACATCCTGGGAACCTTAGGCATTCATGTCAAGTCTATTATTGACTCAGTATATATTGCAGTCATATTTTTATTCTGGTTTTTAGAATACGGCTGATTGCTAGTGGTTGCTGGGTTGAGTGCCTTTTGTCATGAATGGGTCATTTTAGGTGAGAATTGATCTGGACAAACTGGATATTGAGATATAAAGAAGCTAAGAGGTTCCTGAACATTCTGGGGCATTTTCTTAGAGCATTAGATGGCAATTCTGCCACAGTTCCAATCTCATTCACTGTACGATAGTGAGCACTTTTTCTACGTATGGGTTGCCCAAAAGCCACTTAATTTAACTGAAGAACTCGAGGCACAAATTGGTTGATGGGTGGTTTACGTTCAATAACAGTGACTATCCAGAACTTAATAGAATATAAATGCAGTAAATAATCACTTCAAATAATACAATACAATACAATACAATACAATAGCAGATTTTGAAGGGACCCTGAAGGTCTTCTAGTCCAACCCCCTGCCTAGGCAGGAAACTGTTTCAGACAAATGGCTATCCAACATCTTTTTTAAAGACTTCCAGTGTTGGGGCATTCACAACTTCTGGAGGCAACTTCTGTTCCACTGATTAATTGTTCTAACTGTCAGGAAACTTCTCCTCAGTTCTAAGTTGCTTCTCTCCTTGATTAGTTTCCACCCATTGCTTCTTGTTAGATCAACAAATAGATAGATTAACAAATGGACAGCTCAGGGCATACAACTGTACCTTTTGCATGGAAATGGTTAGAGTGAAGAGAATTTGACTTTGCTACCACTGATGCATCTTCCAAGAACTGCCTAGCCAAGTTTCTTGGGTGCTAACAGAACAGGTGTTTGGCTTGAATCATCTCCTTGATGCAGGTCAGTCACTAGAGGGGCAGTTGGACTCACCAATATTCTAGATGAAACCCTACCTTGATTGAGATGCCTCAGCGTCTGTGAGCTGCATCATAATAACCTTATCTGGATCATGTCATGTAAGAATTACCCCTAAAGATACTCCAGTGTTGTGACTCAACAGAGGTCTTCTGTGAGTCTTTTCAGGATGCAAGGTCAACGATGCAGCTGGGGCTCGTTAGTGTGGTTCTGGTGATAAAAGAATGGATAGTGCCACGCCCTGGTTGCAGGAGTCAACGTTCGTTCCTTGGTTCGTGCAACATTGATTGATCATCGGTCGTGGTTTATGCAAGATACACTTGGAGAAGTGTTTTGTTTCCTGTAACCCTGATTCAAGGCTACACTTGGAGAAGTGCATTGCTTGTAAGAGTTTTTGTTTTGTATTCTGTTATCTGCTTGAAAGAGACTTTATTTCTGTTTATTTTTGGGCTCTGAGCCGAGAACTGATAAAGAGAGTTCCTTTTAAGTTTGTTTGCCTGTTGTCTGTTATCGAGCCGAGAAGGGCGGATAGAACACTCCAGTAACAAAATGTAGCTGCCGAATTTTAAATTAGCTGGCTAAGTGGGATCATATAATGCCAGTTCTGCTGCATCCAAATAAGCAGCAAATTATTAATAAAGTGCCTCTGGTGGGGCATGGTCCAGCCACAATTAAAATTAACAAGTAAAACTAAATCTAATAACAAAAAATGATTAAAAAATAACACTTCTGTCTATGTCCCAATCATCTAACTTGACTAGGAAGATTTATAACAAATCATCTATCATCTGTCTATACCAACTGCCATTCTCAGTATCTATTCACAGCCACTTCTACCAGTCAATCTGCTTTATTAAATGAGTATGTTTTCAAAACTTTTCTTAAATACATCCAAAGATGTATGAGCCAGAGTAGAGAGAGAAGATGTTTGTATGTCCATTATATTTTAAAATATTGTCCAAGAATCAATCTGCTGTAGAAACTACTTGTGGTTCTGTTTGTGGGCTTGGCTCATAAAATGGTGATGAGACACTCAACCATTTCAATGGCAAAACCCCAGTGTTGGAATTATGTATTGTGAGATGACTATTGTGTTCTTTGGAAAAAATACACGCCGGTGCATCCTAAGCATTTATAGAGAGGCAACTGGTCTATAAACACCAGACTGATTTGGCTATAATCTGCTTTCCTTTTTAAAAAAAAATCAAAACAATCTTTCTTTTAATCTCTGTACTTATTGCTGGCTTTAACTGTGCTGACTGGATTTGAGATTTCTTTTCCCCTTTTCTTTTAGACCATATATATTCTCTGGTAGGAAGGAAATTAAATAAATGAGATATACCTGCGCTGTAAAAAGGTGAGAATGCGTGGTGGGATACAAGAATAGCTAATATATGTTGTTGTTGTTTTTTTGTCTTCGTTTTTCAACCTAGCTGGTTCTGCATTTCTGAACCCCGAAGGAGATTCTGGGACAGAAGCAGACAATGACCCCCAGCTGGCCTTTTACACAGACCCATCACGGAGCAGGCGACGTAGTAGAGGTAAGCAGCACCATGAGGAAGGAGTAGCAAGGAGTAGCAAGTACATTAACAAGAATGTGGAATGGCTAATGGGATTATGGTGCTAGAGGTCCTTCAAGACTAAGCATGTCTCTCAGCATATTTTAATCACATGTCTTTTGTGCATGCTTAAATAACAGTAAGTCCTTCCCGCCTGCATTTTCTCATTATGGGACAAGCAACACTGTTCTGACCCCCATCTTTGCTCGTTCAGAAACGACAGCCACACACAGCTTGCGAAGGAATGTCTTTATCAGTCCCGGCTTTTGCTGGCTGCGAGCCCAAAATAAACATAGATCAATTCTCTGGCAAAAAGTTAAAACAGCAAATGCAAAAACAAACTCTCACAGCAAACCAGGTTTATATAAAGCAGTGGTTCCCAAACTTAGCAACTTTAAGACTTGTGGACTTGAAGTCCACAAGTCTTAAAGTTGCCAAGTTTGGGAACCACTGATATAAAGCAAATCACTTATCCAAGTGCTTCTTGGAATCATGAACACGAACTAGAACAGGAACAGAACGGTATTCACGAACCAATGAAGGACGTTGACTTCTGCAACTAAGGCGTGGCACCATCAGTCTTTTATCCACAGGAGGAGATCCTTAACGAGCCCCAGCTGCTTGTTATCTTTGCCTGTGAGCATCCTGAAACCACTCAGAGAAGATTTCTGTGTCAGTCTGATAGCAGCTCCAAAGGGTCCTACTGAGCCACAACACAACACTATCCATTATCCACTGATATTAATATTAGTTAACAATTTTTTAAAAAATCTTTGCATTTGTTCACTCCCAATGCTATGGAGAAGAAGTGGATAATTCTGCCTTTCTTCGGTGCATGAGTTGATAAGCAAAGGTTTCCTCGGACAGGGAAAAATGCACCACTCAAGGGTAAAATGGATATAAGCTTAAAAACAAAAACAGAAACAGAAAATCCTGAATAATTTGGAAAGCCTAAATAATTTGAAGCCTTTCTTTTAAAAAGGACTCCCAGCAGAACTGACACAATCCGTCTATTTTCCATACCAATAAACACATTTCTTTGATAGATTTCTCTCTGCATGAGCTGCTTGGATGAGATCTCTAAAAAGACACCAGCCCTGTTTGCATGTTATGCATCCCTAAGGCACTTAACCGCACTGTCAAGGAGTTGGTTGTCATGGAGAAACTAACCCATTAAAAGAATGGAGGAGGAAGGAGTGATTAAATATTTTTAAAAAGTATACATGTTTTCCTTTGAACCAGGATCCTTTCTGGCTAGGCACTATACATGGAGGCTCTCCCATTTAGTAACTTGCAGACTGACCCCGTGTAAAAAAAAATCAGAAGCACCTAAAAGTATGCTAAGCATTTGGTATCTCTCAAGCAGATGCATTTTCGTTGCTCTCTACTGTAATAACGAGGTGGTGCAGTGGTTAGAGTGCAGCACTGCAGGCTACTTCAGCTGACTGCAGTTCTGCAGTTCGGCTGTTCAAATCTCACCGGCTCAAGGTTGACTCAGCCTTCCATCCTTCCGAGGTGGCTAAAATGAGGACCCGGATTGTTGTTGAGGGCAGATAATTCTTATGTAGGAATTCTCCTCCAGGAT